ACTCCTCCTGCTGCTCCTCCCTTCCTGCTCCCCCCAGCTCCTCCTCTCCTTTGTTCAGTCTCCCGGGCAGAAGGTGTTAATTCTCCCTACCCCCGTTCCTGGCTCAGGTTACAGCTCAGGTAGCTTCCTTCAAGGGAAGTCCCACATCCCCACTGCAATCCCCCTGCAACATTCCCAGGTCAAATCTGCCCTGCTCCCTGCTCCGTCACACAGGGTAGTTAAGCACTGGAACAGATTCCGTAGGGAGGTTGTGGAATCCCCATCATTGTAGGTTTTTAAGAACAGGTTAGACAGACACCTGTCGGGGATGGGCTAGATCAGTGGTTCTCAAACTTATTTGATCCTGCCCCCTTCTTTGTGTTTGTAGTTATTCACGCTCCCTCTCCTACTCCCCAGGCACCCAACCAGCAGCCACCGCTCTCTGGCCACCCAGCTCTGAAGGCAGAGCAGAGAGCGGCAGCTGCTGGCCGGGCAATAGCATGCCATCCTTACTTCTCCGCTGCTGCTGAAGGCAGTGCTGCCTTCAGAGCTGGGCACCCGGCCAGCAGCTGCTGCTCGCCGGCTGCCCAGCTCTGAATGTGCACAGTAAGTTTACCTTAAAGCTTCTCATACACACCCCAGAATATACTCCATGCCCCCCCAAGGGGGAGCATCCCCCAGTTTGAGAGCCTCTAGTCTAGAAGATAATACTTAGTCCTGACTCATGATTCTATGACACTACTCAGTAAAGTTTCCATTTTTAAATAATTTGTTCTGAATAACAAACTCATTGTACCAAGGTTGTGATGTTTGTATCATATGGGATGATGATGTGCTAGTCCAAATTAATGTTCAAGACACGTCAATAAGGCTTGGAAGATGTGGGATGGCCCCCTTAATCACAATGGACCAAAAAAAAAAATCAAGGCAGGTGGCAAACTCCATCATCGTAGATGGATGGTGCACTCTGATTTCTGAATTAAGTGGAACTTTCTGTTTTTTGTTTGTTTGTTTGTTTGTTTCTGATTCTAAAGCAGAGAGATCTGATGGAGTCTATGGAGGTTACAGGTCTGCTGCTGTTCTGTTCCTAAACAATCATATCTGTTGTCATGGAGACAGAAGAACTGGAAGAGGTGGAAAGGCATTGCAGAAAAGCAACCAGTGGTGTCAAAAAGGGCAGTTTTCAGCTGCCAGCCTCACAGCCTGGTGTGAATTCTGAGGATGAGGAGAAGTCAGAGGGTGCTGACCATGTGACCCAGGACAGTGAGTCACAGACTCACTACATTGCCATTCAAAGAAATTCCAAGTATTATCAGTCCATGAGGCTACGGACCAGACAGAAAGAGAGGAATAACAGAGAGGGGACGAATGCTAGGCATGCTGTAGGTGAGTACCAGACCCAGAAGTCATTTCTCTTCCTTTTTCCACTGCAATTGGGAATGATGGGAAGAGAGGGAGCTGGCCAGTGGGATGGGAGCTCCTGGTAGTCAACACTAGAGAAAGTAGGGGATTCCAGAACTCTTATTTGAGCACCAGTCCTTGCCCATCTTGCACAACAGGAATTTCAGTGCCAATAGATTACTAGTAGCTAGACTGGAACTGCCAAATAGCTGATTCTTTAAACACGTTCTCATTGCAGAGAACCTGAGCAGGCTTGGAACCCATGTTCTGCCTCTCTGAGGGTGAGGGGGGGAAGTTTAAGCAGGGAAGGCCACGTGGCAAGCAAGGAGGGAGCCAGTTCACAGGATCACACAGTGAGGACGGAGTGGGGAAAGCGAGACCTGTACAAAAAAAGAATTGCGCAGCGCATTGGGGGAATCAACAGAGCAAACAGGAAGGCAGAGTGGCCAGAGATACCTGCTCCAACACATACATTATATTCTAGATGGACTGAGTGTGAGACAGGCCACGGAAGCCTTCTACTCTGTCATCCCCCAGAGGAGCACACTGCTCCATCCCCAGCAAATGAGCCATGCTTCCCCTGCCAGCATAACGGTCATTTCCCACACCCCCAAACAGACGCCTGGGGGATTCTCTCCAGAAAGTGGGCATCTTCTGCTTTCCCAGACAAGGGGCCCAACTGACTCTATCAGCAAAAGGGCTCATTCTGCCCTGCACAGAGTGTCCAAGGAAAGTTCCTTCCCTTCTCTAAGCCAGCTTATGAGCAGACAGCGCGAGAGCAAGGAGTTGCTGCTTAATATTCTGCTACTGTTCTCAATGAGGTTCCTGGACAGACTGTCTGTATCCAACGCAGACCTCACTTCCACCCTGTCAGTACAGCAGCAGAACGAGCTCAGAGCGGTTTTCTCTGCATCTCCTGCTTACCCACCACCACATCACTGCAGCAGAACCAGCTCAGAGGGGGGCCTTGCTCCTGCACACCCATTACATCATTGCGCCGGACCAGTGTATAGAGTGGCATCTTTTCCGTTTCACCACAGCACCACTGCAGAAGGACCAGCTCAGAGCAATGTTGCTGTATTACGTGCCCACTACAGCATCAGTGCAGTCTGACCTGCTCAGAGCACTGTTGCTCTCCTGCATGCCCTGCTCTCCTGTGTCATTCCATTGCTGCAGTAGGATCCGCTCAGAACGGGGCTTTTCTCCTGCACACCTGCAGCAATAGTTCAACAGGGTCATTCAGAGCAATGTCTCTCTTCACCAGGCAACGCAGCAGGATTTGCTAGGAGCAATACTTCTCTCCCCTGCATCACTGTAGCAAGCTCAGCCCTGAGCTATAGTTTCTCCAGTCAACAGGGATGACATAGCAGCTCTCCTATTTCTCCTTCACCAAGACGGATGCCATTCTCTCACAGCAAGTGGGCAGCGTATGCTTTGACACAAGCCTCAGTCTCATAACAAGAACCTCTTCTCACAGCATTTGCTGAAGTACCTGGAAACAAGGAATGGGTGAGCTCTTTTATCTTAATTTCAAACCCACTTGAATAGAACGAGTCCAAAAGTTTGACTCAAATGTTAATCTGTTCACATTGCACTAAGGAAAGACTCTGAAAGAAAGAAGAAGAAAAAGTAAGAGAAATCCAGTGAAAAAAGTAGGATGGAATACAGAACAGGAAGAAAAATCCAATTTGAAAAACAAGAAGTGAGAGCAGAGAATGGGAATGAGAGAAAAACAGACCTAAAGAAAACTAAACCCAGCATAGACAATGGCCTAGTTTTGGGGGTGATCCTAAGAGATAACATAAGCTTTCCTTTAGCTAGCAAAGGAGGTTGGATTTTGTAACCAAGCTCCTCTGGCAGGGGAAGAGCGCTTAAATGAGAGGAAAGAAAGGTATGAGAACTCAAGCTAGTTTTGTGAACCCCCAGAAACTGTGCCACAGATTAGCAAAACTTTGGACTTCAGCCATTCCTTATGGAGACCCAGTGGCATCAACCAGGAGGGCATCTCTGAAACATGCTTCATTTAGGGCCTGGACCTGTACTCACTGAAGAGTGAGAGTTTTGCTACTGATTTAAAGTGGGAGCAGAATTAGGATTTAGCGCAAAGAAAATCTAATAGAAAATATCCAGCCCCCAAAAGTGAGATGCACCCTTCCCTTTCTGTGATCGCCGTGGTGAGCCATGAACTTGATTGGGATTTCTACCACAGCTTTCGTTCCCTGTAAAAGCCACTCCGGCTCCTTTGAGGGAAAGAGGAGGAGCAATTAAAGGTAAAGCTGCTCGTCCTATTGAAAGTTTACGTCATTTATCTTTCAATAAACTGAACTCTTCAATTTTGTGCCTGGAAGGAGAGAGGCACTAAGGTCCTGGCATGGCAAAACAGATACCAGCACACCATAGAAGTGCACAGTTAACCCTATCTCCCTAAAATAGTGGAGATGAAAGTCACTGGCTGCTGGGGGCAAAGTTTTCAGTGGTTAGAAGCCCACTTACATGCACAAAAATGCATTTGTATGTCTACATTCATTTTCTCATTTGATTGCATACGCAATTGGGGTAAATGCACGCGTAATCATCTGCAGGCAAATGTATGCATATGGACCTCAAGCCTGCTCGTTTGAAAAGTTGAGTCTTAGGAATCAAAATGCAGCCCATTCTCCCACCTCCTTCAATGCAAACCATTGTTACCTGGAGTACATGTAAAGATTGTCCCTCTTTTCTGTCATAGCTTCACTCAAAAATGGAGACAGCAGAAGCAAACTTCTGAATGTGGATGTATTATCTTGCAAGGGACCCCCAGTATCAGTAAAATCTGAAGTGAAAGCCTTGGAAGAACAATGTATACAAAGGTAAGGAGGAAAGCAAGAGGGTGGTGAGGATTGCCTAAGCTGAACAACAGGGAAGCAATGTCAGAGCTACCAGGCAGAGAGAATACTGTTTCGGAAAGGGACTGGGCACAATTATATCCACCAATTCATCTCATCTCAACTTAAACCACAATGCTGTTTTCATCTTTAAAAATTATACCCATCTAGCACATAAAACTTTTATGCCAAAACTTTATCAGCATGAGTTTGGAGGCAAAGGGTGAAGGACAGGAGGGGTGGAAAGAGAGAAGAAGGGAGTGAGGAAGATGGAAAGGAAGAAGGGGAGAGCTCCTTTCAGGTGGCATTCATTTTGCTTTTGCGACGCTTAAAAAAAATAGCTTTCCACCTTCTTCAGTTTTCTTTTGAGGTACAACATGATATTATCAAGAGCTGGTAATAGAGTTTTGTACTAAGGTACACCTATTTGCCCTAAATCCTCACCTATGGAGGTAACATAAAGGTCTTGATCCTGCAAATCTTTCTTCAGTGCACTGCAGAGAGGTGAAGGTTGACAGACTCCATGATAGTGTGAGCAGACACTATGTGTGGGCACAAGTAAGGTTGAAGAATAGGTGCAAGTCCTCCACAGAGAGTGAAACCTCCACTCTGAGTCCACTTCCTTACGTGCGCGCGTGTGTAGACTTAAGTGGGATCCTTAGCATGCAGATGAGGAGCTTAGCTGTGCATACTCCTCTTTTGCCTCAGTTCTGCTGCTAGGCAGGAAGAAGGGGTGGTTGCAGTGCAGGACACTCAAATACGGGATCATGTCCCCTGCGCTCTCTGTCCTTTTACATTGTGTTTATATGCACGATACTGAGTCCAAACCTACATTGTCAAGAATCAAGCCCTGAGACTTAAATACCAGATGCATTACACTGGGTTTTGTGGTGCCACTTATGGGCAAATGAGTATCAATGAAAGATTCTTTCCAACAACTTTACCTAGGACAAGGACTCCAATAGAGAGTTTTAATGCCTAGCAAATAAATCAGTCAAATCATATTTAAATAAAGTAAATTGTCCTGGCTGGCACTGCGTGTTCTTTGGTATTAAACTGAGCACTTGAAATCAGACAGCTGCAGTATGCTGGAGTGTTAAACCCATCTGCCTTCCTTTTCCTCTCCCACTGGCGTAATCCTGGCTGTCAGCCTCTGACGTCCTGACACTGCCAGTTATGCAACTATAAAGCATGCAAATTATGGTCCTAACTCTGGAGTCAAGAACAATGAGCTGCTTCCTGTGAACCAAATTTAATATGCTGGGGCTCGCAGAGCCTGACAGGTCAGTACAGGTTACAAGTCATGTGTCTACAGAAAGAAGGCAGTGTGATAGTGCTGAGGAAGGATCATATCTACTGCAATTGGGCAGAGAGATTTGGCATAGAGAATAAGACCTGAGTTTAAGCTCCTAAACTGAGCCCCTGTCCTTAGCTTCCCTTCCATAAAGATAGCTGTAATTTACAAGAGCACCACTGGAAATATTCACTTTGGAATAACCACAGGAATCTGGGGATATCACTTATCTCCAGACATCACTATTTTTACCATTTTACCTTGCAAAAGAGCTAGTTAAGAAGCCTAAAATGTTATGTACAGTCTAGGGAAGTGTAGAACATCTCACACCTAATATCTTACAGAAGAGAAAAAGTTGGTGTCTGTCAGCTAAGGTGTAGTATCTGAGAGAAGGAGGCTGTGGGCCTGGATAGCAGGGATGCTTCCCACTGGAGCAGTTACATAGCCCCATATGGTGCCTCGGGGGATGCTGCACCAGGTTGCTGGTGGCAGCTGCAGCAGCTGGGCTGCTTTCTTGTTACTTTGAGCAGTGACATCAACACTGGGCAGGCACAAGGATTTGGGGGTTTTTTTGTTTTTTTTTAAACATGGATTAAAATAACCAAAGTCTGCAGATTTATCAAGGAATATGTGTGGAATTTACAACCATGGCAGCACACAGCAACACAACATTATTATTCAGGACAGGGCGTGAGGAGGAATCCTATAGCCAATTGAAATCACAGGGGGAATTTGCTACACGTACAGTAGGAATAACCTATTTATTTGATCTTGATTTGGGCAGGACCTTGGCCTTAACACCCTGTTCTGGGATTCTTAATAACCACAAGTAGCAAAGACCTTGGTATTATATCTCATTCAAAGCACAGCAAATTGTGCTACAAAAATGCTTAATAAAATTAATTAAAATAATAAGAGTGGTTTACTGACCACAAACACTGACAGTGTTGGTTTTCGGGGTACCCAGAACTGTGAGTTACCTTGTTACCTCCTACCTCCAGCATGAGGGAGTCTTGCTTGTGCTTAGCTGGGTATCAGTTCCCTAACATCACCAGTCTATTAGCCACTCAAACACTCCTCTGGGCTATGCCAGCCCTTTGCCTTGCAATTTAATAGGTGCACCCCAGTCCCTTTGAAGCATTCCCCTGTGATATACAGCCCCGACACTGGCTACTCACAGATATACCAGGCCTTCTGCCCCCAAAGGAACAGTATGCACACCAGCTTGTAAGATTCAAATCAGGATCAGCACTGAACTTAACTCCACAGCCCTGAGATATATTTATAGTGAAAACCAGAGTAAGTTTATTGTAAAAGATTCAAGTGATAGTGACTAAGAATATTGGAAACAAATGGTTACATACAAAACAAAACCATAACATGCTTCCTAAACACTAAACTAGCAGGTTAACCCTCTGTCTAAAGAAGCTTAACAAACCCAAAGTTCTCTGCAGCATTTTCAAGCAAGGTTGGCTGAGATTCTGTTTTCATGAATAAAATATGCTGTCCATTTATTCTGTAAGTGCAGGATGAGGGGGTGTGTTATTTCCCTCTTAGATATACCCCCAAAGTTTATTGTCTTTGTACACAACCAGAATACCTCCCTCCACCCTCTAGCTTGTTTTTTTCCTGTTTGCTCCTTTCTTGTTGACTTTGTATGTAACTAGGCATCTATTTTGTTAGTTTACAATGCTTAATGTACATCCCGACACAGAGCTACACTTTCCTTCCCACCTATTTTTCATCTTTGCTGGTGATTCCTACCTTGATACAGACTTTAAAACATATTTTCAGTTCCTTACATAGTATCCATACATAGATTTCACAAGGATATTAAGGTCCAGTGTGGTATTGGCTTTCATTTAAGAGCCCACGTGACATTCTTTGGTGAATTTGAATGTACATATCAGAACCAAGATATTCCTATAACCCCTTTGCCAGTTGGCATTCAGGGGTTCTTGGGTCACACTGACTTTCGGAAACATTAAATTAAATAAATCCTATGATGTTTCAAGTTTCCTCAGATATTTTTAGTGTTACACTGGGGGTCTCTTCTATTCCTGTGTACTTAGCACACAGAGGAGGGAGACTACACAGAAACATGAGTTACCATTACTGAACTAGAAGAGGCTCACAAAACAAGAGCAGTCCTCACAGAAGGACCAAGGTTTGCCATCTGGCCTTCCCATTCAGATCATTAACCTCCTCAGCTACCCCATTCTACACCCTTCTCAAGCTCTCATCTACCTATAATTCTTCCTGAGTGCTTACTGGCTCCACCTAGTTCTCTCCAGCCTCCCCTCAGTACTCTCCTACCCACAGTCCCTGCCAAGCGCTCTTTGCTTCCTCTCAATCACTAGCCTTGCAAGATGTAGAACTTCAGGCCCTTTTGCTATAAGCGCCATGCTGCCCACTCTCAGGGCCGGCGCAACCCATTAGGTGACCTAGGCGGTCGCCTAGGGCGCTACAATTTGGGGGGCGGTGACCGCGGCGGTATTTCGGCAGTGGGATCTTCCGCCGCCTCTGTGGGGGATGGCATTTCAGGGCGGGACCTTCCGCCGCCTAGGACGGCTGAAAAGCTGGCGGCGCTCCTGGACATAATAGAGCTCAGCTCCTTCTGATACCGCTTCCTGTTCTCTATGGTACCCACTGCCATGGTACCAGAGGGAGCTGTACTAAACAAAAGCACCAGGTGCTTCTCTCCTCCCCATAGTTTGCTGTTGTGGACCCTAGCACAGCTCTTCAGCTGGAGATAGTTGTGGTGCTGATCAAACAACATTGCCTGATGCTACCTCCATCTGGGTTCCCGTTCACACAATCTTTTCAAATATCAGCCTCTACATGAGCATCCCATAAGTAGACCAGCAGATAGAGCAGTTATTTGAAGATGGGAGCCATCTAGTTTGCATCTTTCCTTTATCATCAGCTAATAAGATGCTGACCAGATACTTAACAGAATTAATAGTAACAACAAGGGAGAAGGAACACAAAGCAAAATAGGGAAAGAATTGGTTAATGAATATTTAGATAATTTAGATGTATTCAAGTCAGCAGGGCTTAATGAAATTCATCATAGGGTTCTTAAGGAACTAGCTGAAGCAATATCGGAATAGTTAGCTATTATCTTTGAGAACTCCTGGAGGACAGGTGAGGTCCCAGAGGACTGGAGAAGGGTAAACATAGCATCTATTTTTAAAAGGGGGAACTAAGAGGATCCAGGGAATTATAGACTGGTCAGCCTAGCTTCAATATCTGGAAAGACACTGGACCAAATTAAACAATCAGTTCAAGAGCATCTAGAGGATAATAGGGTTATAAGGAATAGCCATCATTGATTTGTCAAGAACAAACAAATCATGCCAGACCAACATAATTTCCTTCTTTGACAGTGTTACTGGCCTAGTGGATGGGGGGGGAGCTGTAAACATGATCTCTCTTGATTTTAGTAAGTGTTTTGACAGTGTCCTACATGACAGTCTCATAAGCAAACTAGGGAAATGTGGTCTAGATGAAATTACTATAAGGTGGGTGCACAACTAGTTGAAAGACTGTACTCAAAGAGTAGTTATCAATGGTCTACTGTAAAACTGGGAAAATGTATTTGGTGGAGTCCCACAGAGGTCAGTCCTGGGTCTGTTACTATCCAATATTTTCATTAATGACTTGGATAATGGAGTGGAGAGAGTGCTTA